CTGGAATTGGAACTGTACTCAAGTCGCTTGATTGCTTTCAATGTTCTATAGTATTAATCTCTAACTCCTTGTATTCTTAGGAAATATGTAGTTACAAATTCCCACTACCGGAGACGATGTTGTGTGTGATGTAAGGTGCATTCTTTTTGGTAATCCACTTGTGTGATGCATTCATATTTCGACAAGATATCAGTGAAAAGTTTGCTCAGAAGTTTGATTACTCGTACACCATGGATTCCATAGTTAGTAGTGGTTATGCCGTTCATATGTAAACGTGTGTTGTTGTCGACTAGTTGTTTTCTATGCATGTCTACTAACAGATTGTACGCGCTGAGGAAATCTGCACCGAGAATCGGCTGTTTGACTTGCACTACAATTAAGATCCACGTGAAGTGCCTCTAAGTCCGAGGTCTAAGATTAGAGACTGCTCTCCGAAAGTTTTGGTAATTTTTTCGTTGGCCGCTTGCAGTGAAACCTTGCTATATGTGGTGTGTCGCCGTCGTGAGAGCTCTAATTGGATGATGATAATTTCAGCTCCTGTATCGACTAAGAAGTCGGATCCTAAATATGACCCCTGATATGAAAAAGACGGCTTGCCGAGTGGCCAGCAACAGTCGCCGCCATTACTGTCTGGCCGGCCCGTTTCCCTGAGTCTCTTGCTTGTTTGTTGGGAAGGTGCACGGTTGTGTGCAGCGCCGTGCTTTCTCACCATATTTCTGATGATATCAACAAATTCCGGTTGTCCGCTTAGGTGGCCTAGGGAAATGTCTGGAAAATGATCTTTTAGGCGAGGATCTAGTTGGTCTGAAATGGATCGTTGCAATGGTGGCCTGCAATGTTACCAACTGCCTTGTCAGCTGTGTTAACTGTTGTCGGAAGCTGAATGTGTTACACGTATCTTATTTACTGGCAGTTTGTACCGAGTTAACACCGTGAGTATCTGGGTAGATTTCCATAATCTTGTCCGCCATATCTACTAAATCTTCTAGATTGACGGAGTTCCCAGACACTGTGAATTTGCCTCACGTTATGTAGTAGGCGTTGAAACCACATTTATTTAAACAGGGTTTCGTCTAGTTTATATGGACCTGCTAGTTGCTTCATATGCCGTAACGACTGCCATAGTCTTTTGTCTCCTAATTCGCATGATGCTAACAATTGCTGTAAACGTTTTTCGTCGGAGACTCATGTGCGTTGTATTACCGCGGTTTTAATTTTGTCATAAGGTTCGCTCTCTGGCACTTGGTCGATTAAATCCCCGACTTCGGCGGCGATTTCAATAGGGAGTGCACCAACTACGTAAACATACTTCGTTGCCTGAGAGCGTATACCTCTAGCTATGAATCAAGCCTCTATTTGTGCAAACCAGATCCTCGGGTTATTAGCTCCATATGCTGGGAGTCTGAATTCAGAAAGAGCGTTAACTGAACTTAAAATATTGTCGTCAGAATGTGATAGTGAGTTAAGGGCATTTACTGGAGGAGAGTCCATGTCAATAAGTTTGTTTGGAGAATACATTATTTGAAAAATAAACCAATGTGTCAAGTAAAAGAAAAGCAATATGACAATTACAATAAACTCGAGGCTTACCAGATAATTATGGTGGACCAAACAATATATGAACTCAAAAATAGCAATAAAGTTACTGCGTACAAGCAGTAATGTTATAATATATTAGTTATAAACACAAGAAAAATTAGGGACGTTACTTAATTCAGCTTGTAGGACAGATATTTACAACTGATTGATCACAGTGCAGTGATGATTGTCACACTGCATATTCGTAGACATAATACGATCAACTGTAAAGGTTTAGACAAATATGATATTGAACACCACTCAGTAACTAGCCAATTATATTTAATAATGGTGTTGGCATTGACAATTATTTATACGCACATATAGCAAAGAAGGGAGACTTAGTTCACAGATGTATCCTCTAAATTTTAGTCCCTTTAATATTCAATTCAACGGATACAACTTACAATACAACTGTATGTATAAAATGACCACATCTCTGTTTATTCTGTCCAGCTTGACGAAAATCACGACAGCATCAAGAATGTTTTAGGTTGACTTAATTAACTTTAACTCTAATTATACGTGGTTTGATATGTAGCTCGGTATGATACCATTGTTACACATACAGATACCCAAAGTCTTTAACTTTTTGACTGGGAATGCTGTTATAACTTGTGGCCTGAGTGCCCTGTTAATGTATATCGTAACGATCCCACCAATTAAGAAGCAGTGAATTATCGATCGGATCAGTGACGCGTAAAACCCGTATGAGCAGTCTAGAGTGCTTATCGGTTCTAATTTCTGCCTAATACAGTCAGTTAAGTCCAGAACACCAATCAGAGCCTGTGCGATATGAATCATGTATTTCAAACATACTCGGTTTATATACAAAACAAGCAAACCACATTGTACCAATAAAATATGAAACAACATTTGTACAAGAATTAGCCAGATGTGGCTGTGAATGAGGGAGGTAGTAATTAATATACTCAAGAATTGTAAAACGTATAATAATAGTTTATGGGTCAAAATAAAGCTTATAATAAGATGAATATGAATATGCATAGTTTAGTTACTTAATAATTATACAATAGAAATATACGTTTAGTATTGGTCCATAAATGGATCCATAAAGTTACTATTCATTATTCTTGTCGGGACATACCAAATGTACAAATAATTTCGTTCTTTTTGGACAAAATCTTCTGATTCACTTGGACAGCAATTAAAATACTTTTCGTGATGCGGTTCTCTACTCCACCTACGGTCCCGCGCTCAGGAATCGAACTCAGAACCTTTGTTTTTACGCGAACGCTTAACCAGTAGATCACTATTCCGGTATCCAACGTTGTTAACGGCTGATGTCAACTTATTCACTATGTTCATGATTTAAATGAAATCTAACAATATCCACAACCGGAAACAGAAAATTATCATGTGTTTATTAGTGAATAGCTTCGAGAGGTCATTCTTGGAGTTCTAATGAGAGTGGAGTTCAACCGTGTCGGGTGTGAAGCAGTTATTCACCGAAGACAATGGGAGATGATCGCGCGACACCGTGGATTGGTTGAAGTTAGACATTAACCATTGGATACTGGTTCATTGATCTAGAGTTTGAGCGTTCACGCAAGACCGAATGTCGTGGTTTGGATTGACACGTGTAAGATGGTGGATGCGTGTCGTTGAGTGACTTGATATTCTGACAAAACGGTCGTCTAGTGCGTTCAGGTTTTCAATGTTGGTTTAACATGGGTCGTTTCACGATTTCAATATAACTTTACTTTCTACAAGCGATTCATTCTTATGAAGCTATATTTACGTTTAAGCACTTTAAGCATAAGACATGCCAATTGTTCTCCTTATATATATGCAAAGAAACATAAATAAAATGAACGATTTAATGTCGTAGTATCTTCAAAGATTTTAAAGGCCTCCTACTATGGCACTCCAACTTTCCAAAATCAGGTTACTTTCAGGCACCTTCAGTAAATCTAGTCATTAATATAACAACTGTATTCATGATTACTATCCAGCAAATCAATATATTGACGTGTATGGACATGTTTGAGACACACATAGAATGTATGTCATGCCTGATAACTTGAATTTATTATTATTCTTACTCACAGATGGCATTGTAAACAAAAGAAAACCTTGTACAATAATGTACAAGTCAACAGACAATTTAAATAATAAAAGTACTCTACTTTAAACCATACTCATTTTTGTGTAATGGCTATTGATCCTGGGCCTGAAATCGATAAAGATTGAGTGGTATTAAAATCTACCAATTAGATAATTTTCAACCATCTAATTGTTAAAAGATCCAATTTTCAATCATTAGAATGCAGGTTTGAACCCTGTTCTATTTTTGGTTTGGTTCCGGAGTAATATCATTAACTCTCATACGAAAACATAAAGATAGCATATTGCATACATTGCGGAAGTGATTAACATAATTAGAGAGGATTTTGTGGAGATTGTGGTAATTTAATCATTGAATTCATGAGTCAATTGAAACTAGACCATCATGGAAAATCTAGAAGCACTGGACAGCCGTTTCTTCCTAGTATGGAATCCCTCAGCAGTGCGCATCCAGCATCTCACCCCGCGAGATTCGAACAAAATTATTATCGATTGAACGCCTAGTTACTGGTTAACACAACGTACAATCCTCTCTGAAATGAGAAGATTTTTTAACGAAAATTAGGGATAGTGAAACTAAGAGATAGATTTAGCCCATATAATCATTGACTATTATTCTGTGCTGTATCAGATTATGTGGAATTTCTTAGTAGGATCTTCAAAACAATTATTGCCTATATTTGATGATATTGTATGATATGACCGGAAATCTTCACTTATTTTGTTTCGTTTTCTTGGATACTTGATATCATTTTCATACCTCTTTTTCTTATATTGTATATTATATCATTCTGTAATGTTGCAAGTTATTATAACATAGACCAGTTCACATTTGCCATGGGCGCCATGTTGCATTTAATTGTACTACTTTCAAATAAATCACTGTTGTATTGTGATGTGGTGAGAAATCATAACTTGGACAGCAGTAGACCACTGAAAACTTATCATCGATTAACTGATGTTATCTATCTATCTATCTCCTGCTCACTACATTAATTATTAATAAATAGTAATCATTGTTACCAGTGTTTGATTACGACTTGACGTATTTGTCAGTCAGTCAGTCAGTCAGTCAGTAACAACGTAGAACTTCGTACATACGTACATCAGTTCGAGTTGCCATGACACATTAGCACACAGATGGAATTGTCAATTTAAATCCTATAGTAGTTGACGTGTTTGTGCATGTGTGTGTGTGTGTGCGTGTATGTATTGACACGTCTCCTATCAAGGAATGGAACTTTTTTTATGTTTGATAACATTGAATGATCTCATATCTAAAATGTTTATATTTTATCGTTTTGATTCTAGTCAAATTGTTACATTATATTATCATGACAAAGAAGAAACTATCAGAAAAATACAAACAGAAACTATCAAAACATCCTATACCTAAATCAAATAATCCACAAGGAATAACTGTTGTTAGTGAATTTGTTCGACAATTTGTTCGACGTCATGTTAATGAAAATCAACGTAATCAATCTGATTTATATTGGCGTCCAGGTTCTAATATTAGTCATAATATAAATCTATTACCACAATCAACAAAAATTCATCGATTAAAACAGAAACAAACGTCTATCACAAATGACAACCCTATCAAAATGAATCATTCTAATATAAAGAAAAAATCTTTCAATAAATCAATAATCAATCAAAAACCATCAATTATATCAATGAATTTATCCAATCAATTACATAATTTATGGAATGGTTATTTTCAATCTGTTATGTCTATTCTTCCTACTAAATTAAATGATCATAATTGTAGTAATTTTAATTTAACAAAAAATTTAGATACAATATTACGTTTGAATTTAATTGGTGCTCAACTTAAAATTCTACGTTCAACATCATGTCGAGTAAGTAGAAGTATCACAATGGGTTTTGTGGAGATTTTTAGAAATTTCACTGGTTGAAATCATGAGTCAATTGAAGCTAGACCACCATGGAAAACTCGGAAGCACTGTTTAAAGACGGCTGTTTCGTACTAGTATGGGACTCCTCAGCAGTGCTCCCAGGTTTTCCATGGTGGTCTAGTTTCAATTGACTCATGATTTCAATAAGTAGAAGTAGTTGTAGTTCATTTCTAATTTGTTGTTGTTGTGATTGTGTCATGATTTAATTTCTTATCATAGGCTGATATCAGTTAATGATCTATGAAGACTAGAAAGGTTTTTTTCTGATGAAGTTTTGTTCTTTGAGATGGATGATTTGGTTGTAGAGATTTCATTGTTCTTCTGAACACAACACATTATCATCACAAACTTCACGTAGAAGTGAAGTGTACACAAACAATCGCAGATACAACCAAACAAAGAAGTAAACAATGAAAAGTGGTTAAGGTCAACAAGAACCAATCATTATCGAGGTGTACAGGACAAGCTGTGAATCATATGTGGAGTAATTGAACACTACACTCTACATGAAGTTTGTGGTGATGATGTCGTTCAGAAGAATGATGAAAGCTCCAAAACCAAACCATTCAGCTAGAGAACAAAATTCCATCAAAATCATCCACTGAGTAACAATCTTTCTACCTCTCAGAAAAATGTTTCATTAGTCATTTTGAAAATGTATACCCAAGCAGAAATATGTTTCCATCAAGTTGTAATATCCTATAATGGCTGAAGAGGGGGGGCGGGGCGGTGTGTTAACAGGATGGGTATAGGAAAGAAGTCGAGATGAGGAGTCATGATAGTTGCAAATTAAGCTTAAAAATAGTACTCGAACTGAACAGATTTATCACAGTGAATGAAAAGTATAAAATAATATTAAGTTAAAGATTAACATAGAGCATTGATTATTTAGAAACATATCAGCTGTTTGTATTTAGGATCTCTTACACGATTACCTGCATAATTGTGTAGGTTTGCAGCAAACACTATGGTATTCATCCTCTCTGTCGGAAGATCATCCATTATCAGTTTTCAATAATCATCACAAGTTCAGCATCTGTTACTAAAATATTGAGAAGCCCATGTAGATCATCGACAATTTAGAATATTAAACAGTCCATAAATGTATATTATTGATATTTTAATGATGGGCAACAATGTAACTCAGGATGCCTCTTTCATCCTGTTTAGAACTCATCAGCCTAACATGCTTACAACTCAGTGATGATTTTCACACTGAGACTAGAACTCATTGCCCATCTCTAATCCGTTTAAACATAATTTTCTCTTCTTGATTAATAAAATATTTGTTAGTTTAAATGGTGAAACTATGCTGTACTGACGAACTGATCAGATTTAAGATAGCACCTACAGTTTTTGCACATAGTGATAGTTATCTTGTGTGTTATTCAAAGCCAATTAAAAATATTTGCATTTAATTCCAAGGATGCTGATAAGTTGTTAAACATATGTGTTATGCAACCAATGCAGTGTGATGCGTAAGCAAAACTTTAAGAAAGACCGGCTAACAATACAAGTAGATTTGAAACGCTGTAGATACTTGTTAAACGCACTTGATATGATTCAGGGTATATTCAAGGGTGTTTATGTGAATGGAAAACATTATCCCAACTCCATAACCGTCACTTCTCACCTTGACCTTGACTTCAAATTCCTAATCCTGATCCTCTTTCACTTATTTTAGAAGTAATTCAATTTATGAAAATTCTTTTGTAAGTTACTTTCATGATTAAGTATTGCTTTCTGATTGGATATTGTGACTAAGTACTGTATTCTGACTGGTGAATAAGTTGCTAAGGGTTGTCAATATAAGCTAGTTTTGCTTGTTTAAACAATTAAAAGTCTCAGGTGAAATTTGAATTTATAGACAACCTTTGAACAACTCTAAAAAGACCTTGAAAATGTCTATCTACATACTACGACTAAATAAGGGTTGTAAAACAGTGTCAGTCAGTCAGTAACAACGTAGAACTTCGTACGTACGTACATCAGTTCGAGTTGCCACACCACATTAGCACAGAGATGCAGTGGTTGAGGAATTAGGATTAATATTTACAGTTGATAGTTAGGTTTAGGCATTAGATATTAGGGTTTTCATCATGAACTGACATCAGCTATAATGCTAAAATGAGTGTGTTACATCTTGAATGTTGATTTCTTGATATACCGCGTATAACAGAGCACTAGAACACCAAAACCCTTCCAAGTTGCAATAAGAAGACAGAACACTAATGAAAGGAATATTATTCCTAACAGTGTCAATTACAGTACAAAATTGTCAGGTATTTATAGTTTTTAGGAAGAACGAAATCATCATTACAGTCCTCCAGTCCGCATACAGGGGGCTATTAGCATTGTCCACGTAGGAATTCTAGAATCTTCTTCCGAAAGGTGATGGATGGAATATCTTCGGCTCCTTCTGAGCCTCTTACAGCTTCCTCGAGTTCATCCGTGGTCCGTCGTCACAGAGTGAATGAATCTCTGGCCAAAATCTAAAACCTGCTATCTTAAGTCTGATTGGTTGGTCCATAAATTCTAGTCTTTCCAAAGTTTCAATAAGTACTCTTTACCTTTTATATTTATTTTATTTATTTATTTTAACACATAGATATTGGTACAAAGAGGCACCAAATACATATGCGCCACACAAATCTCATTCGATATGTGTGAGGGCTGTAATACTGTCCGGGTGCCCAAACCGAAACAGGTGGTTTTCTTAGGGGGCCACACCCCGAGTCTTTGACCTAAAGGTCTGACCCACGAGGCAGTGGAGCATCGTAAGGAGATGCAGTCCCATGGAAGCCAGTGACCAACGATTGGTTCATACGCCATTTGTTTTTTAGGATACTGGAGCCCGTGTGCACCATTGGTTTGGGATCCGGTTAAAGCTCCGGACATTCGCTTTTCGTCCTCTCATTTTCGTAAACAACACCCCCGTGGTGTGAGAAGGCAGTGAGTAGGACTTCTCTGGCAGAGGCTATATACGCGTGGCCATGTGAGAGCATTTGGAGAGGGAGAGCGGACTCTCCCCACTCTCGGCCATACCAGGGCATTTGGGGGCACCTTTTATATAGTGATTATTTCATTATCATATTCATCGTTCAATTTCTTTTTTTATTTACATTTTAGGTTGGTATAGAAGGTATTGTAGTAATGGAAACAAAGAATACATTTTGTTTAGCAATAAATTCATTACATAATCAATTATCAAGTGAATCATTAGTAACTCTTACTACTGTTCCAAAATTAGGTTCATTATTTTCACTCACTTTACCTCATATTGTTAATAAATCAAATAATAATCATAATAAACATCAAAAAATTGAAATATTACTTAATGGTGATCATTTAACACATCGATCAGTTGATCGAGCTATACGTAAATGGAGATATATACCAACAACAGCATATGAATATAATCAAAATGCATTAACAACTGAAGCTATTTTATCGAATGTACTCATTGATAATGTAATAAATAGATGATTATTTGAATTATTTTGAATTTATATACAGGTAATTTATTGTAGTTGGTTTTCTGTTTGGACTTTTTTTTTGTAAGTGACTCAAGAATTGATTACGTTGTCAGTGAGAGAGTGTGTGTGTGACGATAACTTCAAATTTTTAAGGTAATTATGGTTGCATCCGTTACTTATTTACTTACGCCTGTTACTCCTCGTAGATTAGCATAGGCCGCCCACCAGCACTATCCATCCAACCCTGTCCTGGGCAATTCTTCCCAACTCTTTCTAGTTGTTATTCATCCTTTTCACATGTGCTTCCATTTTCCGACGTAATGTGTTCTTTGGCGTTCCTCATTTTCGCTTCCCTTCAGGATTCCAAGTTAGGACTTGCCTTGTGATGCAGTTTAGTGATTTCCGTAATGTATGTCCTATCCAATTCCAATGTCTTTTCCTAATTTCCTCTTCATATAGAAGTTGGTTTATTCTCTCCCACAGAAGGCTGTTGCTGATGGTATCCAGTCAACGGAAACTGAATATCTTACGTAAACAACTGTTTATAAATACTTGTACTATTTTGATGATGATTGTAGTAGCTTTCTGTTGTATTTGGTCGTCGATGATTGTTGTGCCGGAAAAAGCCGCTGATCACTTATATTCGGAACGAGGGACTTCCACAATTCCCACGACGCGAAAGTAAGAACACAAAGACTGTTTTAAGTGATGATTTATTAACTCTAAAACACGATGACGAGTACAACGACTCTAGTAGAAAATACACTGGTTTATATATTGATTGTACACTCATTTTGATTAATAATTAGGATTAAATCACATACTCAGTTATAACAAATCACAGACTGAGTATAGTTCATTTCAACTGAATACAAGATTATCGTATATTATACAGAAGAAAATATCATACTTGGAAAACAAATCAAATACTACACTGAATGAACGTCACGTTGAATCAAAACGGATATTGAATGTTGAACAAAACTCATAATGAGTAGATCTATCGAAAATTGATTTTTCTTTCCATCATATCAAGCAATAATTAATCTACTAGGTAGAACTCAAGAATGGTCAATCGTATAATAATATTTCATAGGTCAAAATAAGGTTTATAATAAGAGGAATATGAATATACATAGTTTAGTTACTTAATAATTGTACAATAGAAATATACGTTTAGTATTGGTCCATAAATGGATCCCAAAAGTTACCATTCATTATGTTTATCGGGTTTTAACATTTTCAAAAAACATTATTATGCAACTGAATACAATGGTCTTGTGTATGTTTCATTGATTGTGAGCACTTGACAGAAAATCAACTATAGTTGCTAATACCTTGAGATGGTGGTCGGGATTGCCTATTGCGATGACTAAATCGAGCCATTTCAGTATAAATACTTTTGTCTATACATCTTACAATGTCAAGCAGATCGGTTGAAAAGCGCTATCATGTTGTTCAATATACGGAGATTTTCAGTTCTGCTTTGTTGTCACTCTCTAAGGACAATAAGACCACAACTGATTCAGTTTCCTTTTTAGGTGTTACCATTAAATCACAAGTATTTAATTGATGATAGATAGTGACTAACAGTGGAATCCAGAGCAGGTTTAAGGCTCGTCAGTTCGTTGTCCCTCTAATTTAATATTGGTGTTCACTCTGAGAATGGAATCCAGTCTCGTTTGAGGCAGTCCACCTAGGGCATATATGTCACAGAAGAGATTGACCGGGATGTAAACAAGAACGAAGAGATTCAAATAAATCATAAAATTCATCGCTGTTGCACCAATGATTGTATTTCTAAAATTAGTAACTCAATAGGTAAGGTATTGGGGGGGGGGTTGAAACGAAAATTTCTGGATTCTAATCCTAGTGTGAACATGAACTCTATGACATGGGTAAATTGAACTGATGAGCCCCATTTGGGATGAAATGTGCATCCTAGTTTTCACTGTTGGATACTATTCACTTTAACTAAAAAATACTTATGGTTTTTGTGCCTATATAAATAAATGTAGAAAAGAAAACTGTATATTTTATACGAAAAAACATGCACAATCTTCTAATTTGACCTAAAACATGTATTGATTTTAATACGGACTTTACTGTTTTGTTATGTAATGTTACCAAGAAAGCATTGGTAGATTTTCGAATTATGTACCTAACGTGATTGGAGCTTTTTTAAAATAAGGTTATATTGAATCAATTAACTAACAACTTAATGATCTCGTCAATGATGAACTTGTAGTGACCTACTTTTATCAAGAGAACGCGATTGGTTTAATGGAAACAATTATTATTATAACCAATTGTACCAGTGGTTGTTTTACTGTACTAAAGACATTCTTCCTTCCGTTGATTGTGACCCTGTACGAATTCGGTTACGCTCAGTAACCACACTTGTACTCCTTTGGCACGATCTCGGTATCCTTTCGATACCACGAGATCGCCAACAAATACATCTCGACTATAGCCATCAACTGCCTTCTAATATTTGGCTTACGGGGGATCTTATCGGTTAACTGGCACTTAGTCTTCCTGTAGTGATGATCATAGTCAACCGCGACTTGACGCCACATTACAAACTTAAGATGAATAGTGTTAGTTATGTTATGTAGTCTGAAGACTATATAAGGTAGAAAAATGATTTAAATAACTATGTTTCATTCTAGGTTAAAAATTGTTTATCATTGTTAAAATAGTTTTGTTTAGTCCATAAGTCAATGAAGCAATTTTAGAAGATACAGTCCCATGGTAGCCGGTGACCGACAATAGATTCATATGTCATTTGTTTCCTTAGGATCCTGAAGCCTATGTATACTAACGGTTTGGAATGAGGGTTTTCCAACTCCCCTAGATGGATCCTCCGTAACTACCAACCCGGTTAAAGCACCGGAAGTTCGCTTTTCGTCCTCTCGATTTCATAAACAATACCCGTAATGCAAGAAGGCAGTGAGTAGGACTTGCGCGGCTATGGCTGTATATGCGTGTCCATGTGAGAGCATTTGGGGGCAATAAATTTATTAATTTTGTTACTGAATTTGTACGTACATATATATTGTTACATGTACTGTAATATGTTTCTATAACTAATTATCTAATTAGCATTACACAGTTCATTTACTGAAAGAGTGTCATCTGTTCGGAAGTTGAATTGTTTTTTACACAAATTTGGGTACATTTTATGTAGTGTCTATGACTGAAATACATTACACATGTCGATAATCAATGCTCAGCCTTAAGGTTCCGTTCATCTTTATTACTAACATAATTAGGCTGCCCAAGATGATATGGACAAAGTGATTATATTACGTGCTAACATGACTTGTATCATATCATTAAGAGCTTCTTTATACTGTACTGGTACATGACCAAAAGATTGACTATATACTTATGCATTTCGATTGTTGATCTGATGAACCACAGCTTTCATGTGTCCGATAACTTTTGACTCCCAGACAATTACATCATAAAACCTTTTGAACATTCTTTTCAACATTTTCACATACTCTGAAGGGCAGTTCGCAAGTGAGGGCGACATATCATGTCTCCATTTGATCAGCTTTAATCGTTATTTTAAAACTGGGAGTGTCTTTCCCATTGTAACCATCCATTTTCCGAACTGAATTCCGAGCAGTAAGTTTATTTTCTCTTAAGTTTAGATATCCTTCACATATTGTTAACAAGTCCTTCAGTACCATCGGTAGGTAACTAAATCATGTCCTATATAGGTAAACTCGACTGGTTACAGCTTCTCGACAGAATTTCGTGGAGCTCCCTGTTGAAGTTAGTTGCCTGTGAGTAAATGATTATTGATGTAATGGCTGAGTGAAGACTGTTAAATTTTATAGTTTACATCACTAACTGACCAGGTGTGTAGTTAAGCGCTTGCGAATGAGACAGAAGGTCCTGGTTTCGAATCCCGTCTGCGGGATCGTGGATGCTCACTGCTGAGCAGTCACATACTAGGACGAAACGGCTGTTCAGTGTTTCCTGGTTTTCAGTGATTGTCTAACATCAATCGACTTATGAATTCAACTACTAAATAATTATTTATTAAGACACTTTTATATGAAAACTAAAAGGTCAACCGGACAAATTAAAAAATAGAGTACACAAAACCAATGTGATAATCATTGTGAATAATAAATCAGTATTATCAGGGTAGATTAAGAGTAAAAACAAGTTGTTTTTGAACACATAAAGGAAGTTCGTAGTTTTCGTATAGCTAAGGCTTCAATAAACCGTGGTATATACCCTTGAAGGCTTTTGTACAACACTACAAATGCTGGCTTGATATCAACCTTATGAACAATCTCAACCAAATGTTTCTCCTTGGTGGAAGATATCTGTTTATCTTGTGATCATATTTGACCATTGGAACTTATTTTTTTCTGTAGCTATGTGCTCCGCTACCCTTAATTGCAAATCACGATTACTCCTCCCTGTGTACATGTTTCCGTAAATAAAAATAAATTAGTAAACACAATGGTCTCATCAAGAATAATGAGTGAATTAATTGTTGGGCGAGACTATAATTTATGGACAACCTTTGAACGAACCTTAAGTGATCTTGAGAAATATTAGTCAATCAAAAAACAGGTAGTATAGAGTAAAAATATGTTATACAAAACCAAAGAATTAATGTGCACATACTTCGTTAACATGGTTTAAAAACTTTTCAAGGTTGGAAAGAGGTTTAGAGGTTCTGAAATTGTAATACATACGATAGGGGAAATCATCCATATAACTCCATAATAGTCGACTTCTGGAGCCATGATAAGGTCGTAAAAACTGTTTTAGCCACGACCACATAGCTTCATTATTGCTTGTGTGCACTCCGGTTGTTGGGTTCGCAAATGCCACTTGTGGATAACAACACGCTGCATATAATCATGTTTATGTGGGCATCTGTATGTTCTCCATCCATGCGTATTACTAGTGCTTTTATTATCCAGTTCGGAACAATTATCATAATTTGCCTTGATCTCAATCTGAATTGATAGAAAA